CCCCTCCTCCCAGACTCCGAGAAGGGCTGCTGGCTCAGGCCCTGGGCCTCCGGAAAGCAAGATGCCCTATGACCTGCCTCTTGTAGGATAACGTTCAGTTGTGTCTAGGGGAGAAATCAGCAGGACCCTCCCCAGAACAGCTTGAATTCACCTGTTCAGGCCTCAGACCCTGTTCTACACTCTAAACCTCTCTGGTTCTCTCTTCGCTCTCAGTCCTCTCTGACCCCAGTGCTCACCTCTTCCTGCCAGGAAATGTGTTTTCCCCACCGTCCATCCCTCCTGGTTGACCAAACAGTTAGTAGGGGAGAGTTGGAAGGACCAGCCTAGAGGTTAACCAGACCTAGGTTTGAATTCCTACTCTGCCCCTCACACTGGGCAACCTCGGGCAAGTTCCTTAACCTCCCTGAGTGTCAGTTCCCTCATCTGTAAAGTGAGGGTGAAAGAATCTATTTGGAAGGTGGTGAAGATGTATAGCTCATTGCACGTCGAGTGCACAGGACACGGTCCAGCGCACAGTAGGTGCTCAATACATTGTGGTTGTAGGTGATGTGCCTTGGGATCAAAGGAGCAGTTCCCAAAGTGATGGCTGAATGTCCTGGGGGAGGAAGAGGTGGTTTCTGGGACAAGAGGCAGGGGCGGTCCCTCCGCGGCCCTGCTTGCTGCCGGGGCCCGTCCTTCCCCTTTGACCCCTCACCTTGTCCTGCTGGGCCAGGTCCGGGTCCACATAAAACTCCCCGGGAGGGGCTGCCCCGGGCACGCCCTCGGCCACCGATTGCTCCAGCAGCTCCGCGGCGCTGGCCCACACTAACGCAAGGGCAACAGAGAGCACAGGGGAGGTTGTGAGCTTCCCTAAGGTCTTAGAGAAGTTTTCAGATTACCCCTCACATCCATTTCCCGCTGAGATTTGCATCTCATGTAATTAAACAATGACAGAGTGGTGTGTACGTTCCTTGCAAAACAATGGAAGCATCAGACACGTGTTAGAAAGGGAAAGGGCCGCCTCATTCCTCCTCCCCGGCATTAACTGCTGATTCACGTGGATGCGTCTCTTTCCAGACTTTTTCCGATGCCGCAAAAGAGCCGATGACCTTAGGCAGGTCATTACTCTCTCTAAACCTTGGTTTCCACAGACATAATCTAGGGATGCTAACAGCCGGTTATACAGGGCTGAGGATTACATGAAATAATCATGTAGAGCGGGGGTTGGCAAACCACCTAGGGACAAATCTGGCCCTCCGCTTGTTTTTGTAAATAAAGTTTTATTGGAACACAGCCGCAGTCATTCATTCTTAATTGTCTGTGGCTGAACCCAGCTACCATGGCAGAGTTGAGTAGTAGCAACGGAGACCTTCTAGCCAACAAAGACTGAAATATTTACTATCTGGCTCCTTACAGGAAAGTCCCTGCCACAGAGCTAGAGCACTGAGCACTAAATGCTAGTTATTTTTATTGCAATAAGTAAAAACATAAAAATATGTGTTTCAATTGCAGAGATTTTTTTTTTCACCTGACAATATATCACGAAGACCTTCCCATGTCAGTATTTATGGATATACTGCCTTCTTTTCACAGTAGCATTGTAGTCCACTCATTGCACAAGGGTCCCAAAACATATTATTTAACTAGAATCCACTTGATAGATGTTTGGTTTCCTGATTTTTTTCTTATTTACCTCAATATGACAAGGGCTGTTGAAATGACTCCGAGGGGTTCTGACATAGTTTCCTTTGGGGGCCCCACTTTATCAAACATACCAGGCTGGGGAAGTGCATTCACATGGACACTGAGTACACTTTCTGGTGTGGAAACTTTTGAAAGGCTTTCTGTAATTCTGCTTTTGAGCTCGCTCGGGTCCAAGCACTGCATTTTAAGTTTCCAACTGACTATGATTTCTGGGTGCATGCTTGTCTTTTTGTGAAGTGGTAAATTGAACCAATTCTTTTCAAGGGCAATGAAACATTCATGGGCGTTGACACTAACCATGAATGAAGTACGCACCGTCACACCTGTGGACGTCCATTCATTCACGCATTCATTCTGATCCCGCACTTTTATTTGTGCATTTTAGAGCCGATGACTTTCCCCAGGTCTCAGACAAGCAGAGCCCCACTCAGCTATGCCCACGGTGCTTTCCCTGTGCTGGCAAACACGGCCAAAGTCCGATGCCCTCTGGTGCAGCTGGACCTCGGGTCATGTCCCTGCCCTGCCCAGCCCTGGCCATCACTTCTCATTCTTACATGGTCTCAAGCCATGTTCCTCTGGGTGCACACCCGTCAGCCACGCTGACCATCCTGTCGCACTCCCCCACCCCTCCCACAACACGGTCCTCAGGGTCCCTTCCACCCTGTTCCTCCCCTACGTTCTCAGCGAATGTCACTCTCCTGTCCGCACTCAGCGTGAGTCTCCCTCCCTCTGGGACACCGTTCTGATCCCCCGATTAAGTCAGATCCTCCAGTCATGAGCTCTCGGGGCACCGGTACCTCTCCTGCCTGGAGTTGTCACTTTATGGATGTCGTTCTGTGATCGCTCTGTTAATGTCAGTCTCCCTGACTATGGGGTTGGGGACCATGTCTCAGTTTGTGGCCCTCAACATGAGTTTACTAATCCCATCTGACAGATGCGCAAAATGGGGCACAGAGAGAGAAACCCCTGCCCACGCCCACACAGCTAGAGAGAGGTCAGTCCCCGGGGCGAACCTCCACCTGCCTCTTCACTCACAAAGAAGAGGCGTTCGGACTCCCCGCTAAGCTTCTACAGGCAGGAAGCAGAGGGCACTACTTAGCAGCACACGGGTGAGACCTTTTATGGAAAAGGCAGGATGGCTTCAAGGGCAGAGCCAGTGGACCAGAGTGTAGAGCCAAGAGCCAAGAGTCATTTCTGGGCAAGAGTAGGACCGGGGCCGAATCAAGAAACTTCCAACACCTTCCCGGCTGGATTTCAGAATTGCTATGGACCAGAGGCTCCGGTGCATTTCCCGTTTTGCTCCTTTTTGAACAAGAGGAGTGTCCGTAGCAGTTATGCTAAGTCCATGGAGGGTGTGTCTGTGGGTCACAGGTCTTCAGATTGCTAGGAACAGTATTCGAGCTGAACTTGAGAAACAATGTCATACTTTTTTTTTTTGCTTTAAGATGCTACATTTTGAGGGCATTTTAATGCAACAATTGATAACTAATACACATTGCATGTTAATTTTACATCGAAAAGACAAAAACTGTTGAAATCTAATTAATGATATCTATCCTAAAATATTTAGGGGGAAGACTACAGCTATGTGCAGTGTACTTTGAAATGTATCAAAATATAGGGTGGATTAATGCATAAGGAGAAGGATGGATAGAAAGATGGATATGTAATGAAGAGTACAGAAAAGCGGGAATGGTAGAATTAGATGGGGGTTATCTGAGAAATTACTTTTACTTGGCCGTATGTTTGAAATTTTCATATTAAACGATTGGGGGGAAATGGCTGAGTAATTTCTTGACTTGGGTGGTAGGTTCATGAGGGTTCACCTGGTGATGACAATGATGATGATGTAAACTGAAGAGATACATTTTATTTACTCCTTTGTCTCTATATTTCACAAGAATAACTACTATTTGCGTGGCTGAGCGACCTGGGGGCTCGGAGGGTCTGGGGCTGGGACCCAGAGGACAGAGAGTGGGACCGGGACCCAGAGGCCATGATGGACACCCGGGGACCACGCCAGGGACTAAGCTGAACCCGCTGCTCTGCAGTGAGGCCGGTGTGGCCGAGAGCAGGGTGACAGACAGGAAGTCCCTCCCCCGCCCCCAGATGCCATGAGGCCTTCCAGGGGGAGAGGGTGGGGGACAGGACCTTGAAGGCTATGTGTCCCCAAAGTAACCGGGCTGTGAGTGACCGTCACTAGCATAACCAGCCTTAAATTTCGCTAAAAACCATTAGATTAGATTGAGTGTCACCTCTGGGGAAGTAACTTTCCTCCATAAGCCTCAGTCTCCTCTCACCTGCAAAATGGAAATCAACTATTTATTAAAAATATTTTTATTGATTCCATAGAGAAAGGAGAGAGGGAGAGGGATAGGGAGAGGGATAGGGAGAGGGAGAGGGAGAGGGAGAGGGAGAGGGAGAGGAAGAGAGAGAGAGAGAGAGAGAGAGAGAGAGAGAGAGAGAAAGAGAAAGAGATAGAAACATTAATGATGAGAGAGAATCATTGATCGGCTGCCTTCTGCATGCCTCACACTGGGAATCGAGCCTGCAACCTGGGCATGTGCCCTGACCGGGAATTGAACTGTGATCTCTTGGTTCATAGGCTGATGCTCAACCATTGAGCCACGCCAGCCAGGAGGTAATCAGCTATTTAAAAACCTCCTAAGGCAAGGGCATTTCTGCACATCTGAGTCAATGTGTATACATTTAGATGCTGCTACCCACTCATATATGTGTACACACACACACACACACACACACACACACACACTCAGCACAGAGGTACTGACGTGTGCACGTGGACAGTGCACAGAGTCGGGAGGAATTTACACCAAAAAGTCCACAGGGGAAATCGGGTGGCGGCTGATCTCTAACTGCTTTCTTAGGATTTTTTCACAGCTGACTATGTTCTACTGTGGAATCAGAGAAAACAAGCAAAAAGCAAGACCCAGCCTCGCGGCTGCAAGCCCACCCCGAGCCGCCAGGGGGCGTGGCCCGTGCCTACCTTGGTTGATGACGGGAGACTGGGGGGCGCCCTCCACCACGAAGGAGAACATCTTCCCGCAGGCGCTCAGGGGCCGCTTGTGGCAGGCGGGCGGGGCCGTGGTCGGCCTGGGGAAGCCCTGGGACCAGCTCTTCTGCACTGGCGCTGGCCGCACGCCCGGCTGGAAGGGTGTCTGTGGCCGCAAAGGGGCGTGGGTCGGCTGCTCTGGGAACCGAGGTGGCTGTGGTCTGGGCCAAGGTGCCGGACCCCCCATCCACGGGAAGGAGACCTGCAGGGGAAGGCAAGAGGGTCAGGGGGGGTCCTGATGAGCTGGGGCGGCCTGCACCCCTTTGTCCCCGCCACATCACGGCAGCCCTAGGTCTCAGCTTGTAAGTCACTTCCCCCAGGAAGCCCTCCCTGACTCTCCCCAAGTTTGGGACAGTGGTCCCACTATGTGTCACACTGCACACAACTGTGGGGGTGGCCTTCCTGCCAGGCACCTTCCCCAGAGGTTCCCACGTGACCCCATTTAATTCACCTGGCGCTCTGCTGAGGCTGAGGCTGAGCAGGACCTGGGGACGTTCCCAAGCTGCTGGGTTTGCTCGTGAGCTGCCAGCTGGCGGGATGTCACCTCTGAGAGGACAAGGGCTCTGGGTCTATCTCGCTCACCATGTGTCCTCAGCCTCTAGGACACGCCTGCCACCTACAGAGCAGGCACCCCACACGGCTGAGAGGGTGGGGGAGCAGGCCCTCCACACGGCCGAGAGGGTGGGGGAGCAGAGCGCTGAGGCCCAGGGCAGGCCCTCCACACGGCCGAGAGGGTGGGGGAGCAGAGCGCTGAGGCCCAGCCCGGCTCGCCGGGACCCCAGGCCTGCTCTCTCCCCATTGGCACGGTGTGTCTCTGGCACCTCTGTCTATCCACCCCCCGGAAGCCGAGAGCTCTGGGATGGCAGGGACCCCGACTGTCTCTTAGCCTTTGCTCCTCAACACCCGCCACTTCTGATTCTGGGCAGATGCTCCATAAACACCTCTCAGGACACCTCTTTGTCGAACCGGGGGACATGTTCGTAGCTACTTAGGGTGGCGAGCGCAGCAGAGTCCACCTAACCGGGGAGAAGCCCCTGCCGGGCAGAGTGCTGACACCTGGCTCCGTCTTGGTTAAGGCTGAGCGGGGGCTGCTCCCTGTGCCTCGTGGCTAAGCAGGGCCAGCAGCGCGTGCCGTCGTGTGTCAGCATTCACCGCACTTTCCCCTGCTCCTCGCAGCAGCCCTTCGGGGAGCGTTCTCTTATCCCTGTTTCCCCATGAAGCTTGGAGAGGGAGCGGGGTCAACATCGGATGACCCCTCTCACTCCCCTCGCTCTCGTTCTCTTTCTATCTCAGTCTCTCTCCTTTTTCTCTCCTCTTCCTTCCAGTCCCTCTTGTCTCTGTCTCTCCTCTCCTCCCTCCCAATTCTCTGAGCAGAGAAAACACACTTCCAAGTCAGAAGTGAGGTTCCGAGGTTTGCTGCCTGCGTAGGATCCTCCCGGGGTCACGTTTCTCCGTCTGTGGACCGGAGAGGATGTGACTCAGAGACGCACAACGAGACGGGGCCCAGAGCGTTTCCGAGACAGGAGCGCTGGCAGCCGGCCTTCCCGTGGCTTCCCAGGAGGCCCTCTGCTCGCACGGCCTCCGGAACCAAGCCCGGAGCCACAGCCTCTCGGGCAAGTCAAGGACCCTGTGTGTCCCCCTGCAGGCTCTTTGGGGGAGAGGGAGGATACGCTGTCGGGGACGCATGGCCCAGCATTCACAGCGACACTTGGCCTCTGTCTTGGGAGTGGGCCTGGCCGCGTCCGGGGAGCTTTGAATTGCTCTCCATGTCAGCATCTCGGCCTCCGCCCCTGTGCTTCCTTCCTTCCTTTACTCGCAGACGCTGCCCCTGCCTTCTCTGTCCATCCTGCCCCTCCCCAGCCTCCTGTGGGGCTGTCTTGCTTTAATCATCCCATAACCTTCTCCCCGTGGTTCGATAAAGATGTCTTGAATGAATGAATGGGCTGACAGTGAGGAGGGGTACATGCCAATGTGTTTTACCCCGGCTGCTGGGAGACAAATCTAGAGGCGACGGGTGGGGGAGGCATTCCCTTTCGTGCCGGGAGCTCAGTTAAATGTGCGTGCCAGCGGCTGAAGGCAGGGGTCGGGTCGGGTCACACGCCTCAAGGGCTCCACTCCTGTGGTGGACAGGCCAGCACCCACTCAGCTCTGGAGATTCTGGATTCTCTCTCTCTCTCTCTCTCTCTCTCTCAACTCACTGCTAAGCAATCAGCCAATCATATTCCCTGGCCAGAGTGACTGGTTCAGAGGTGGGACATGGGATCCAATCAGAGCCAACGAGACCCAGAGAGATCGGGCTGGATAGAAGGCTCTGGAGTGACCTTGTGGGACTAGAGAAGGTCGCCAGCAGGAGGGAGTGGGGCCGAGACGTGGGGAGAGTGTGGCTGTTTGCTGTGTAGGTAAATAACACACACTGTACTTCTTAGCGTTTTAGCCATTTTTTTTTTTAACAAAGAGGGAGAGATAGGCAGCGTAAGAGCAGGGCTGGGGCTGCCTCCAGCCAGCCTGTCTCCAGGGCGCACCTCTAACCACTGTGCCGTCTGCAAACGCATTTGCCCTGCCTTCGCCCTCTCTATTGCCACGTCCTCTCTGTTGGTTACGGCACACAAAGCCTGAAAGAAATGTGCTCACGGGGAGCTCTTGGTTAGGAATGGCACACGCCCCCTAAGGCATCTGGATGATTCTCCTTGGAAACTCGCTCGGGGGTGGGGGAGATGGGGGTGGACACAGCGCCCGCCCCTGGGACCCCAAAGACAATCAGAAACAAGAGCACACAGGAATCAAGTCTTTGAAAAACGGGCTCTCGAGATATCTGATGAGAGATTTTTTTTTGCGGGGCCTGGGTGATCAGGAATGTGCTGCTGTCACAGGCAGCCCTTGCACAGCCACCAAGGCCCCTCCATTAGTCAGAGCCTAGAGCAGCGGTTCTCAACCTGTGGGTCGCGACCCCTTTGGGGGTCGAACTACCCTTTCACAGGGGTCGCCTAAGACCATCGGAAAACACATATATAATTACATATTGTTTTTGTGATTAATCACTATGCTTTAATTATGTTCAATTTGTAACAATGAAAATACATCCTGCATATCAGATATTTACATTACGATTCATAACAGTAGCAAAATTACAGTTATGAAGTAGCAACGAAAATAACTTTATGGTTGGGGGTCACCACAACATGAGGAACTGTATTAAGGGGTCGCGGCATGAGGAAGGTTGAGAACCACTGGCTTAGGCCCTCGAGGACGTGTGCACCCACATCCCTCAGTGGGGAGCGCGAGGGCCCCCAGGCCGGGATCGCAAGGCCAGGAAGCTGCAGGGCGCTGAGCTGCTCAAACGGAAGCAGCCTGAGTTCCCCAGAGCGCACGCGTGCTCCCCACCGCCCCTCACCAGCTTCACCTTTTCAGGGAAACTCCAGGGGCTCTGTGCTGGCCACTGGGAAACTCTTGCATGTAATTCCACCCAATGCCCAGAAGAGGGCGCGAGGACTCGCTCCTCCTGGGACCCACGGGGATGGGTCTGAACCTCAAGGACTCGCATCCCGGCTGCCACGCGGGGCAGGACCGGCTCCACCTGAGCCTCGGGCGGCACGGAAGGCAACACAGCGACCTCTGCCCACCCCTCCCTCCCCCCCAAATGCACCTGACCCCGCGGGACTCACCGGGGGTGGCATTCCGATGACGAGTTCGTAGGTCAGCACTTGGGACCCGAACCGCAGGCGGTCTCCTGGCAGCAGCTTCACCGCCACATTCTGAATGTGGCAATCGTTGACGAAGGTGCCATTGCGGGAATTGAAGTCCTGGAGAACGAAGCTGCTCTCGGCCTCATTATATTCAATGAGCGCGTGATGGTTGTCGATGTCCTTAGACTGAAAAGCAGGACAGTCAGGGCCAGGAGGACAGGAAAGGAGGACTAGTGAACCTCCCCACCCCCCCCCCCCCCCCCCCCCCCCCCCCCCCCCCGCGCGCGGGCCCCCCCCCCCCCCCCCCTAGGGCACAAATTTTTGTCCCCCAGGCCTCTAGTATATAATTATATATATTTAATTTTAAAATGTCTTTCTACTTTTAACTGAGGCAGCAGTAGCTGAACACTCCCTGGCCCCCCCCCCCCCCCCCCCCAGGTGCCTCGCCTGGCTGGCTGGCTGGTCACCACGATGCTCATTCTTAAATGCAGATGCTGAGGATCAGAGAGGTTCTGTGACCTGCCCGAGGTCACACAGCTAGTGCAGGTGAAGCTGGGATATGTGCTCTCTCCACTCCAGGCCCAGGCAGGGATCCACGCTTGTTGGGTGGGGAGTCAGGCAACACAGAGGCAAAGGGAACTCGGGGAGTCTGAATGGGCACAGGCTTGGCCGGGGAACCCGCCACTTTCTGGTTCCCGGCTCCACACACGTGTGCTTTGTTTGTCCCAAATGGCGCGACAGGAAGCAGAAACGGCCCAAACACAGGAAGGTCAGCCGGCAAGTGGCAGCTGTTCGTTTTCTTGCAAAGAAACCGCCACGTTCATGGAATAGGGTATGTTAAGGTAAAGGGAGGTTCTGTCAGAACTGTTCTTCATTAGTTTGTTCTACTCATCTTTAGAAGAACATTTTTCCTAATATTGCAGAAAATGAGCACCGGAGAAACACACAAAGACGACATTAGAATCGCTCAGGATCCATCCCCGGGAGGCAGGAACTGTTAACACTGGTTCACAGCCTTCCAGTCTTTTTAAAAAAATTGCTTACAATCTTTTTAAGAAGTTTAAACAAAATTGACATCATGCCAAACAAAAGAGTTTAATAACTACCTTTAAAAAAAAACCCTTGATATACAATAAATCTCCCCTATGTGATTAATTATTTCTATTGCTGCTTAAAAGCCTGTCAGAATTTATCTAACGATGGGTGTTGATGTGAGGACGTTTCCCCGGGAGAAAAAGACCCCAGACTGCGTGCCTGTGACTTAGAGGCGAGGGCAGAAGGCTCCTCTGTAATTTCACTTTAATAATAAGAGTGAGCGAAACGCAGAGCCCAGCTGGAAATACCACATTCCGTGGCACCAGGACCCTGGACTGTGGGCTGCAGGGCACATGGGAAGTCTCCGTCTTCCCAAGACACTGCCTCTGAGGCATCCATTCTAGCCCAAGGCTTTGCAATTATTTTCTAAGTTTATTTTCTCACAGTGTCTCCTCCAACTTTCATACAAAGAGTACTGGCATTTACAAACCTGTACTAAAGCCCCATAATATAATAATAAACAATAGCTTATAGTAATATGATAATAGCTTATATGATATAGCTTATATCCTATATAATAAAAGCCTAATATGCTAAGTGTCCAGTTGTCCGGTTGGCTGTTCAACCAATCAAAGGGTAATATGCTAATGTTATGCTAAGGCCGCTCAACCGCTCACTATGACCTACACTGACAACCAGGGGGCATACAGTTGACCAGTCGACCAGTCGCTATGACATGCACTGACCACCATGCTCCGACTGGTAGGTTAGCTGGATGCTGGGGTCTGGCTGATCAGGACTGGGCAAGCAGGGCTGGACACACCCTGGAGCCCTCCCGTGGTCCCTCCCAGGCCCCGATCATGCACCAGTGGGGTCCCTCAGCCTGCGCCCTCTAGCAATCTGGGACCCCTCAGGGGATGTCAGAGAGCTGGTTTCGGCCCAACCCCCGAAGGCCAGGCTGAGGGACCGCACTGGTGCACGAATTCGTGCACTGGGCTTCTAGTATACTGATAAAGGGACAAGAAGACACAACAATCCTTCATGTGTATGGACCTACGCAGAAAATTCCAAAGAATCAACAACAGTAACAGATCCTGGAACTAATAAGCAGTTATAGCAAGGTTGCAGATACAGGTTAATATTCAAAAGTCACTTGCTTTCCTATATACCAGCAACGAACAACTGGAATTTGAAATTAAAAACACAATACCGTTGCCCTGGCCAGCAGTGGTTAGAGCACCAGCCTGAGCACTGAAGGGTCACAGGTTCAATTCCCAGATAAGGGCACATGCCTGGGTTACAGGTTCGATCCCCAGCCCTGGTTGGGGCGTGTGCGGGAGGCAACCAATTGATGTGTCTTTCTCACTTTGATGTTCTCTCCCTCCCACCCACCTACCCCCTGGTCTACCCTTCCTTCCCACCCTTTAACTCTCTAAAAATTAATGGAAAAAATATACTCAGGTGAGGATTAACAAAAAAACACACAACATCATTTACATTATTACCAAAACCATGAAGTACTGAGGTATAAATCTAACAAAAATATGTACAAGATCTATTTGAAGAAAACTACAAAGTGTTGATGAAAGAAATCGAAGATCTAAATGAATGAAGAGATAGTCCATGTTTTATTTTCAATTCCTTAATGATACCTGATATTTGGCCTCTTCTCATATGCTCATTTGCATATGTAAATTGCCATCTGTACATCTGCGTTGGTGAGGCGTCTGTTCAGGTCTTTCACCGATTTTTAAGTTGGTTTTTTTTTTATTGTTCAGTTTTAAGACTCTTTTATTTTGGGTACATATTTATAGCATCTTTATTCATAATTGCCCCAAACCAGAAGCAACCAAGATTCCCTTTAATGACTGGCGTACACACTGGGGCACATCCACACCACGGAATGTAGTCAGTGATAGAAAGAAATGTGCTATCAAGCCACACCAACACCTGCAAGAATCTTAAATGCATATTTTTTTTATTGCTAAAAGTATTACAAAGGGTATTACATATGTGTCGCCCCCCACCCCCCGCCCTTGACAATCCCCTGGCCTCCCTTACCCCCCAGTGTCTTATGTCCATTGGTTATGCTTATATGCATGCATACAAGTCCTTCGGTTCTTAAATGCATATTGATTAGTGTAAGACAGCAATCTGCAAAGGCTATATATATATATATATATATATATATATATAGTCTGATTGTAACTCTGTGAAGTTCTGGAAAGCGTAAAACTACAGAGACAGTGGAAAGATGGTGGTTGCCAGGGGCTCAGGTGGAGATGGAGAGGGGTGAACAGGGGAAACGCAGGATTTCAGGGCAGTGAGAGGACTCTATGATGCTGAAATGCTGCATACATGCCCTTACATATGTGTCCAAACCCGCAGAATGCACAACACAAAGATGAGCCCTAATGCCAACTATGGACTTTAGTTAATAGTAATGTGTCAGTGTTGGCTGCAACCCATGCAAGATGCCGACAACAGGGGAAAGCCCAGGGGATCTACGGGAACTCTCTGTACTGTCCGCTCAGTTTCCCGTAAGCCTGAAACGGTTCTAAAAAATATTTTAAAGCACATTAGAACGCATTAGTGTTTTGGGAAGTGCCACCCACGTCTGCTTCATCACCTTCCTCACAATATCAAATCATTATTGTGCGCTATGAACCCATGATGACCCGTCAAAGAGAAATACTCTTCCCAGGCCTCATTGCTTTCAGTTCCTTCAAAGCTGTCAGGCCATCGTTAAGAAATCAAGGCAAGCAGGAAGTTCTGAATGATTCCGCAGATGGGGCGAGGCTCTGCCAGTGTTAGGCCAGGAGGGGGCTTCCTGGACCCACCCTGTAATACCACCGCTCCTCCCCTTACTTGGAGAATTGCCGGCCACCATTGGACAGAGCCCTGCGGCAAACGCGGCTGAATGGATAAGCTCCCTCCAGCCGAGCTGCCTGCCCCGTGAGGTAAACGTTTTCTTTATCATCATCATCGTCACATTGGCTGATGTATTTGGGGCTTCCTGTGAGCCGGGCCCAGCTGAAGCACTGTGTGTATTCTCTTATTTAACCTGTACAACAGCCCTAGATAGGGCTCTATTATTAACCCCATCTTATAGGTGAAGAAGCCGAGACTCAAAAGGTGAAATGGGAGAGTAATAGCATCACCTCAATACCAAAACCAGACAAAGACACCGCAAGAAAAGAAAGCTACATACCCTTATCCCTTATGAACACTGATAGAAAATCCTCAACAAAATACTAGCAAACTGAACTCAACAGCATCGAAACACACACACACACACACACACACACACACACACACTCACACTCACACATATGATGGAATGTTATTCAGCCAAAAAAAGAAGGTAATCTTACCACTTGCGAACGGCATGGATGCTCTTGAGGGCATTATACTAAGGAATGTAAGTCAGGCAGCGAAAGGCAAATACTGTATGATGTCACTTATATGTAGAATCTTAAAAAAAACCCACACACCTGAGCTCAGAGATACAGAGAACAGATTGGTGGTTGGCAGAGGCAGGGGGTGGACAATGGTTGAAATGGATGAAGAGGATCAAAAGGTACAGACTCCCAGTTATAAAATAAACTAGAGGCCCAGTGCACTAAAATTCGTGCAAGAGTAGGCCTTCCTTCCCCCGGCTGCCAGCACTGGCTTTCCTCTGGCACCCGGAAACTGGGCTGGCTTCCCTCCGGCCCCGGCTTCATCAGGAAGGATGTCCGGAAGATGTCCGGTCTAATTAGCATATTACCCTTTTATTATTATAGACTAGAGGCCCAGTGCATGAAAATTTGTGCACTGGAGGGGGGTCCCTCAGCCCAGCCTGCCCCCTCTCACAGTCCGGGAGCCCTCAGGGGATGTCCTACTGACAGCTTAGGCCCTTTGCGGGGGCAACTGGCCAATCAGGGGAAGGTGCCACCCGCATCACCCCGCTGCTGCTGCCACTGCCGGCTGCCGCAGCTGCTGGCCCTCAGCCCTCGCAGCCGCCAAGGTGTTTTCATCAACATGGATTCCAGTCCCTTCACCACAAAAAAATGACAACTTTCTTTAGGCATTTTCAAGATGTCTCTTT